CTTTACCGGTTTAGTTTTCTTTCTCTCCAGGCGAAGAGTTAAGCGTTAATCTGCTTTCAACTAAAATGGCGTTTATTTCAATCACATTTTACTTGGGCCCGTGCTTGGACCGTGGCACACGAAGTTCCATTTTGGTTCTTTCCGGAAATTAGTTTTCTTTTTCTGAACTAAATCTTAATAAATCTGTCATTAGTTTGACGTTGTACATTGTATTTTTATTGTAGGTGCCATCTATAGCTATTATCTATATTAAAAGGCTTAGTATACTTCTTCGGAAGCAGGAAAATATTGCATCGCGCCTCAAAAATTAATTACTAATTTTTCTTTCGACTTTCGCCTTAAAGCGCACGTACCGGATACAACGGGCATAAAAATATGTCAGGTCTTCGTTTGCAGAGGTCGTCTTTAGCATATGGTAGTCAGAGTTTTCGAGAGTTTTCCAATTTGACATAACGTGATGTCTTCAGTTTGCTTGAATGAACAGGAGAAAAGTCACGTCCTTCTCTTCGCATCAGTACAATTTGTTTTGTTTTAAACCAAAACAAAGTTAGATTTGTAATTTTGATTATGAGTGATTAAATCTGGGCACGAACGCAGTTTGTGTATTCACTCGATGATTTCTGACTTCGGGCAGAATCCTGTGGTGAACAGATTGAAGAACTTAATTGGAACAGAGATCCTTTTGTGCGTGTGTTTAACTCTTTACTCCTTCACTTTTTATCTTGTAGTTACGTGACAGGATAGTGGTTTTTCAGACTCTCCAACTAGAGGCGTAGGAGAAGTGAAGGGTTAGGTAGTGATTTTAAAGATAAACTTGGAACTAGAAAAGCTCATAATAACGTAGAAAATGTGTTTTCGGCGGAAATTATTAGCGTCAATAGACATACTGAACTTTTTTTTTTGCCTTTTGAGGCTCGCGCTGCGGGCAGTTTTATTTTAAACGGTTCTGTCACTGTTTTTTTTTTGTTTTTTTTTTGTTTTTTTTTTGTTTTTTTATAATACTGTCAGTCTAATATCTTAAATGTAACTTTGAGAGTGTGCAATAACTGTGTGCGATTGTCATTTTTATTCATACCTGTTTAGGGTTACCATTTATTCACCCGTATTAACTGACATCGATTCATGGAAAAACTCACGGTTCTGTCTTTCATGCTCATGAGGAAAATTTCATCAGCTGACTAACAGTCGGACTTGTAATTTTTAATTGTTCAAATATATATCATAAAATGTTTAATTATACAAAATAAATGCCGCACCTAAATATTCCTGTATTTCCTTCAACTTAAGGCCGATTGAAGAATCTTTTTTAAATTCGTAGATTCAGAGTTTTCAGAAACCGAATGGCGGATATCGTTATCACAAATATAACAGCTGTGTGATATCGTTGTTTTTTTTTGGCGGATTTTTTTTCTTTTGATTTGTTTTGTTTTTGGAAAAAACAAAGAATTTACCAAATTTTTCAATAATGAAATGAAGTTCATTTTGAAGCATTATGCAACTTAATTATATTTTATTTTCCATCATAACGTACATGCATTTTCGTAGTTACGTAACGAGCGTGGGAGAAAAGCTAAGTTTCACATAAGGAATCATAGCGGCCAGAACTTTGTGAGCTTGTCATAAGTTAGTTGATAAATGACAAGCTAGAAATAGTCAAAAGCTTTTTGCGAATACTATTAACAATCACAATTTTACTATGAGTGACAATGCAAGATCCGAAAAAGAAAAAAAAACACTAACAACAAAACAAAACAGCGACGCCAGCAATTAACTGTAACATGAAAAAATGTGATTCTTTTCATCAAGGTTTTCTGTATTTTGTTTTAGCTGTTATCAATGGTAATTCCTTCAAGCAATACCATGATTTTTATAGGATGTCTTTGACAGCTCAAATGATCCTCTTCAGGAGAGAATTAAGGAAAATTGTCATTCATCTCAACAATAAAGCGACGAACAAATAGAAGGACAAAGAAACGTAACATCCAGTCGTGGATTGGCCTCACGCAGAGTTTTCCTTCCGTCGCTTCCAATCGTTATGAGTAGAAATTTCATACAACAAGGTTAAAATCTAAGTCAGGTATGGCTTTCTCCACAACCGTCAGAAATACACTGTTAGATCTTTCATGATTTAGTCATCAGAATTCATCAATTACTTGTTCGTGAACAAACGCAGCTGATTCTAGTTTTGGAAGAAACGAAAACCCAGGCAAGGGACGGCTGTCTTTGAAGTGAGATTATTTAGATTCTTTATGAGAAATAATCACAGTCGAATTTTGTACTATATTTAGTCCGTTAATCCCCAATTCAAGCCCTATACTGATTTTTCCGGTAACCAAATCAAACTTGTCAAATATCACAAGACGAGAGTACTTTTTTACAGCTTACATCACTGTTATTATTGTGTTTTTCCATATATAAAATTTGTTGTTTCTATGTCGGTGACTCACTTACTTTAGTCAATCTTTAGCTTAGGAATAAAACATTTATGACAATTAAACACTATCTGCATATTAAATATACCTACCAATGACTTTTCATTTCTTTCTCTCAAAGCAGCCAGATTTCAGTGTAACTCAAATAAGCTTGATATTACTTCAACCGATGTTTTCTCGGCAAGATGCTCACATAAGTCCGTGCGTTTTGACACGAATAGTTTCCAGTTTAGTTTCATCCGGTGAATTGTTTCATTTTATCCGGCTGAAACAGCATAATTGTCACTAATTTTACTTAGCAATAGTTGCTTGTTACAAGAAGGAAATTAGATGCTCCTTCAGGGTTAGACTGCTGTATATTAACCAGCAAATATACGCCTCCATAGCAGCCATAAAAAATTACATTTCGCCAAAACATATTGTGATATTTTTTTCTTACTCCCCAAAAAGCGTTTGTACCGGATGCAACATGATTCGGTATCGTTTTAAATACTTCAGATGCGCTGAAGGTCTCAATAGGCTGAGTCAATAAATACGATAGCAAAGATGTTGTGTCCTTTACTGGGTGCACTTTGTTACATGTTTTAGCTTTCATTTTAAGGCTCAGTGAGAAATCCTCTTTTCACGGAGGAGACAACCTCTTTTGTGCCACTTGTGAGTAAACAAAAAGCGATCAAAAGCAAAATTCAACTTCCTTCCGTATTCGCAAGTCTATTTTTCATTGATTTGACAAATGTTCAATTTATCAGACACCGAAAAAAGAATTGCTTTGCTTTCTTGCTTTTTTAGACGGATTACACATTTCTGTAGATTTTGTTTTGTCTTTATGGCTGGTCATGGACTTATCACAGAGGCGAAAAAAGGACTTGGGTACCCGAGGACTGTCGCGCATAATGAAAAAATAACAAAGATGTAAATGGCGTGAAATGTTTCAATGTATCAAACATTAACTTGTTATCAACATTTACCGCACGGGAAGTTTTGAGGGCATCCAAAATAACTACTCATAAAGGTTCATCGACCAGTGTTCATTACACTTCGAAGATAACTGATTAAGGATATATTCGGCTAACCACAAAAAGAAATTGTTTGCGCAAAACATGAGGATAGGAAAAACTTTCTATGCACACAAAAAAATTTAATATTTGATACGTTGAATTTTCAGAAATTTCATGCCATATGTCAATTTTGAGCGTGGTGAAATTACATTACGTGACCAAATTGCCTCAAGCAAAGAGATCAGTTTTGAAAAACACGAAATAGACTCTTCGGTTGACAGTTTAGAAAGACTTTGTAAATTTTAATAAAGAATATTGACACGTTTTCAGAAGTGACTACCAAAATGTTCCATTTCAGGAATTATTTTCTCCCCGGCAGATGATGTTTCATTTACGATATAACTTAACATGAAAACAGTACGGCTTTCTTATTCCGCGCGCATTGGAACTACACTTTCAATAATTTTATTAACGTGCAAAAGAAAAAAGAGCAAAGAAATCGAGGGGTCGGTAAACTGTACCATTTTGAACATTCATTTTCGGAAAATGGGAAATTAACTTAAATAAACGGAAAACCACAGCGCTTATTTTCGAGGGCGTGGGTTTTGCGGGGTCGAGGATTTGCGGAGATTTTTTCAATTGCTTTCTAAAATTCATGACCCAACAATGTTAATGTTTGTTTCGTGTTAATTAGGAGCAAACAGATTGAAAGCCACTTTCGGCTTCAGAAAGGCATTAAAGATTTCGTAGTTTTTTGCACTCGAATAGTAATCTTACGTCTGTGTGAAACAAAACTTAATTTTATAGTGTTTCTTTTTTTGCGGAGGCGGAAAATTTAAACTCCGTAGAAAGCAAATTCTCGTCGCCTAAAGGGGTTCTTTTATTTCTTTCCACTGAAAAATACGCTAATTAAGAATGAATTTAAATAAACAAAATCATGAAAAGGCGAAAATGTAGCCTTGTACTGTCAAGAAAGAAGTAAGAGAAACAAACGAGAAAAAAATATTTGCGATAAGAGTCGGTTTTTGATAATAGCCGTGTTCTTCCTGTCACCGTTGCTATGGTTTCCACAGAAAGCTGCTGCATTAGAAGGGTTTTCCAGCAGACATCCTCGTTCAATAAATTATCCGGTGATCGTAAAATACGTCATGATATCTCGAAGCTTTCCAAACAGCTTTTTGCTATTTGTTTACCATGGAATTTCATCTCTCTGAAGTGCCAATCCCCTTTTCGCACTTCTGTTACCGAAATGATGCAAGTCCAACAGAGATAATTACAAAGTCTAATTTTTTTATTTTTTTAAACCAAGTTCAAACCCTAGCGAGCGCCAAACGGGAAATGAACGCGCACTGAAATTGCTTATCTGCTGAAATCATTATAAACTCGTTGTCAAACAACTGTACTTCAAACATTCTGCCGACGCCACACAATAGGGCCTCGATAATACACACAAATGGTGCAAAAAGACGGTTTCTTTGTTTGATCAGCGACAAAAAACAGTTAGTGTTTCAAGGAGATTTTATTGTCACGTTCTGTCAGCGAAAAAGCAGCTCTCTTTAATATTTTATCAACTTGGTTTTGTGAAATCGGATTTTTATTTAGACTACGCGACCTGATAAGTCCGTTTTGGAAATTCAACTGGTGAGGTTGCTGTTGTCCGAATTTCAAAACCAATTTGTTGTTTTTTTCTTCCAAGGCGTTTGGTAAAACTCCTTTCGTAAGAGGTACCTTGCTAATGGGGCCTTGAAAAAAAAACAACCACTTTGGTATAAAAACGCCAAAAGTTTACCATAAAGTAGCCGCTAGTTTTTCCTCTCGTCGGGACTGCAGCGGAACAATACGCGACGCCACTGATCATTTTGAAGGAGAGAAAAAGAGTGTGTATTTTGCTAAACGGCTACTAGTGTAGGCGTTTTACGCACGACGCACTGGGAGGCGAGCAGAATAACCGTGTCTAGCTACATATTAATCAAGTACTTGATTTTAATTCACTTAATTGAGACATAAACAGGAGAAGGAACCGCTCTTTAGCCGAAAGGCTAATAGATTGCATGAAACCTACAAATACGGTGAAAAGAAATCGATCCCCTGAGTGGAAAGACTTCACGTCAGCAGATGCCACTTCGTGAAAGAATTTCAAAGCCTGTCATTTACCAGATCAAGTTCCTCATTTCATCAGCTGCACAGTACTGCAAACCATCTCGAGGTCGAGGACAAGAGTCGCGTTTTCACATCTCTTAAAACACACCTCGGCTGAAAAAGGCGCATTTGCCAATCACATCTAAGAAAGAATCGAACAACGACAATTTTTAGTTTTTTTGGGACTGCCCTACTTTAGAGCGGGCTGAAATCTCAAATATTAGCCGTGCTTCTTTGTAAAGAAAGTCATAACAGTGAAAACCTACGGATTAACCGCATCAGGAAAGAACTGGGACGACGGACATTGCGTGATTGAACTAAAATACTTAAAGAGATCGCGTTTGATCAACAGTAAAGACACAACTCCATCGAGTAAATCGACTCCTTGGTTGAATTTATATACTTTATTCAGATCAGCTTGCGTTGGATCCCAAAACAACGATGACGGAATTGGAAAACAACGAGTCAAACCTCCCTACCAGTGCAGAGATATCTACGGCCGCGCAAGCTACCGGAGAAACGTATTTTAACCCCTCATATGATGGGGCACTGATTATTCTAAGCGTTATGATAATCGCCATAAATTTACTGGTGATTTCACTGTTCTTTTACCGCGAATATCTACAGACAAAAACGAACAGTTTGCTAATCAGTCTTGCCGTCTCCGATCTACTAGCTGGTTTATTGGGGATCCCTCTGATCGTCGCTTGTAACGCGGTTTTAAAAGCCGGAGTTTGTACAGCAGGAGCGCTGATCTACCGCTTTATAGCCGTCTCAACCATGTACCACATCCTTGTGGTGACTCTAGAAAGGTACATCTATGTGATGTATCCAATGAAGTACATTAACATCGTGACGGCACCACGGGTGCTCAAAGCTATCGCTGGCATTTGGTTGTTCTCAATGTTTATCTCGCTTATCCAGTTGACTTGGGAAGATCCAACACGATTCTTCAAACCTCGCGATTCAGCCTCTCAACAGTACGCACTTGCCTACACCATCGTGGGAATTGTCTTCTGTTTTTTTCTGCCTGCTCTGTTAATGGCCATCAGCTACGTGAGCATGTTCATGGTAATTCACCGTCAGATAAAGGAGATCCGTGGCCTGTACAACACGCGCGCTACGGGCGCCAACAGTCAACGTGCTCCGATTGCTACAGAAGCGCGCGCCCTGATCATCTTCGTGGCGATGCTCTCAATTTTCATAATTTGCTGGCTGTCGTTTTATGTCACCGGATTTTTAATTCTTCTCCCAGGGCTGCATATAGAGGCAATACCAGATGAGGTATTTATGACAGTTGACTTTATTCGTTTTTCTGTGTCTCTCGTAAATCCCATTTTGTACGCGTTTCTCAAGCGAGATTTTTCCAGAGCACTTAAATCTCTCTGTAAAAGGGATGGCATACAACCAGGGGAGCTTGCCTCGTCCTCGTCTACGTCGCGATTTCGCACACTCACCATCAATTTCTCTCTGTCAAGATCCTCCGAAATGTATAGAGACTAAAATGTCATGCAATCGTCTCCAAGAGCAATTTAAAACTCTTACAAAGGTAGTCTGCCAAGGAACTAAACTAAACGATTTAAAAGGAGACATGGAAATTCAGAACTACACAATTATTACGCACTAAAAACGAAATTCAGAAATGCACTACTGAGTATGGAAGCATAAAAAAACCGAAAGGTAAGAAAGGAACATTGAACAAATATGTTGAACCCAAGAGAGAAACACATCGAATTTAAACAAAGAAAAGAAGATTTACAGGCTTGAAGAAACGGTAATATGGACTACAGGTTTTTAGGCTGGTTACGAACTAAGTGTTACAAATGAGTTTATGTGCGGCGTTGCAATTATCCTTTTATTCAATTTTTTTTCCTATCTCAACGGGATGAAGAGGAAAATTTAACCTTTAGGTTGCGCTGTCAAGGTCTAGAGGTCTCTTGCAGAAAACTTAAATCGCCAAAGGACAATTCTTGCAGATTATTAACGGTCATAAAAATTGGTTCATGCTTCTTCATCTAGAGTTAAATTATGTAATCTAAGGGCCTGGTGAAAGGCAGTTTCATCCGTTAGCCAAGTTCAAAGAGGTCAAAACTGAGACTAACGTGATCGTTAATTGGTGGGATTTATATCTTGCTGTTAAAAGGCGCATTTGTGTAAGAATTTTATGGCGCCCCAATGTTTTTCACTTTGAAAAATGTTCCATCAGAAAACAAATTAAGAAACAGATGCGAATTTAAGTACTATATTTCTGTGTTGACAGTATATGTAAAATCCGCAACAAAAACCACAATTTCTCTCCTTCTGCACTATGTGGGTTATTAATTTTTTCGGCAATTTTTTAGGTGAAACTTTAAAACCATTGTAGATGGATTCGTGCTGAGAATAACTGATTCCTTGCAAACGTGTCTGTTAATTCCGGTTTCATTGAGCAAGGATAAACTCTGTTTTCCTTAGGGGATTTAAAGGACTCGTTTGCGCTACAAAGATGAGATTATGTTTCGGATATGAAGTTAATTTTGAATGTGTCCCGGAAGATTACCGAAATCACACTGAGACTGAAACACACGAGACACAACAACGCTTGCTGACTACTATCCATTTTCAAAAGTAGATAATCTTGTTTAGACTTATTCCAGTACAGTATTAAGCATGTTCTCGGCCGAATCACTTCTAGGTGATTAACAGAACTTATTTATTTTCAAATATTGCAGCTTTTTCCGAGGTCTTTGATGGTGTTTAATTACAAGGCGTACTGCAAAGGAAAAACAAAACAACGTTAAACTCTTTTAAATGCTTTTTCAGTGATGGCAGCTGGTTATGTACTTTATTAGTTTACGATCTGAACTGTTTGCCTCGAGTTCTGGGTAAATACTGGATTTTTGCCGACAAAAATATGATCATCGTCCATAAGAGGGCTCGCTTTAAATAACAATGAAAAACCACTTTCCATTCTTTTAACGTTCCTATTCAATTCTAAGAAAGGATGTGTATATCCTCTAGGAAGATTTCTCTCGATAAATATTCCTTTGTGTTTTTCTTTTTGTCTTTGTATTGAACGAAAGGAAATTTGACAACATTTCCGCTGTAACAATTTACATAATATTTAGAGGAAAACAATACGCACACTGATTAAAATCATAAGCTGCACAATCCTCAAGGACTTCAATTCATGACATAGGATTTCTCTTTGAAATCTAACAAGTTTAAGTTTCAGTCAGATTATTTCAAAATCCGAGGTTGAATGGAAAATCGGTCAACGCCCAATGACAGTTTGAAAATTCTTCAGCTGGTATATGTTTATCGAATGGAATCAGTTTTTATTTCAGTAATAAAAATCGTCGTAACAAGTAGTTCTATAAGACAAAGGTTAATGTTGCTTTAAATACATAATTTAAATTGTAAAAATACAATAGCGTGGATGTGTGGTTAGCTGACCAGCGTTTTTAATAGCGCCTGGATAATTTTTTGTCATCTTAATTGTTAATTTGCACGCGTCAGTGTTGAAATTTCGTCCTCTGTATACAAAAGAATACCATAGTTGAAGCGGGTTTTGAAGCTGGGTTTTAATGGCTTGTAGTGACGAGAAAGTAAAATAAAACATTTAGGTAAATATATTTACAACAACGTAAAGCAGTTGAGAGGTTTGAAAGTTTCCGAAGCGGGATATAAATGAGAACACACACACACACATATATATATATATATCTATAATTTCTTTATGATAGATTGTGTATTAAAAACAATCTTTTCACTGCAGATGAGTCAAGTGTGTGTTTAATTACAGGTGGAATCAATACACAACTTCTTCAACCAACACAAAAGAGCTTTTAGTTAATACTAGAAATCCTTGATGAAAAACAAAATTGCCGAAATGAAGGAAAACAATGGTAACCCAATATTTCCCAACTTTGAATTGAAAATATCAACAGAAAAATGAATTTGAAACATTTTGAAGTTTCCTCGAAAATAATTTCAGGTCTCAACCTGATTATTAATCGACAACGAAGCCGAAGATGCGAGACAGGACAGGAAATGACGAGTCTGTATGGAAAAACTCTTCCGCGAAGTAACGGTCAAGAGCGGGTAAAAAAACTGAAACATACCCGGTTGCCGGAGAATAAACATCGTCTTTAGATTTCAATACGATTCCGCGATGGTTTCAAACCTTTCAATTCTCACTTCGATTAATGACCTAACACCATATCTAGAGTAGGATCAACAGCCAATCAGAGCGAAACCGAATATCACAGGCAACCAATGAAAACTCACAGGAAAAACAAGAGAACTGCCAAATGCGCGGGAAAACGCGAGTGGCCAAGTCATGATGTGTAGTAAGTTTGCATCTGATTGGTTGAGAGAGTAGCGCTAGTTGCTGGACCCATTAAACCAGACACAATTATCAATACTTTCGTCTCGCATTCGAAAATTGCTTGGCTGTTCTGTTGAAAAAAAAAGTGTGTAAAGCTAGTGGTACTTCTTGCAGTACATTCCACGCTAGTTCATAAGAACTTCGAGGAAGACGGAACCCCTTAGCCGAGCTGAAGAGGATCGGATAATGCTCACTTTTCCTGAATAAAGATCCTAAATCAACCCAGCAGAAAACTTTAAAGCTCTTATTCACAGTAAAGGCAAGTATTAGTTACCTTGGGTATACAAACGGCTGAAAGCTTTTTTCGGTTCGTTGGTTTGGTTTATGCTTGGTGTTTTCACGGTTTTAATAACTTAGATCTGGCTTTTCAGTTCCAGACGCACTCGTTTTTGACATTTCACCTTCACAACGAAATCAGACTCTTCCCGCTGATTTACGATGGTCACCCTCGTTTTCCACGGTTTGGAGAAAGGAGTAAGGAATTTCAATGTGATTGTGGGTCTTATATACTGAGATTAAGTTGGAAAAAGAAAAAGAACATGCTCACAAAAAAGGTCTTTAATACCACAATCCAAAATAACTCTCGGTATAAATTAACCTAGTAATAAACTTTCACGAGGGCATTTCGACAACATCAGAATATTAGAGAGTTATAAAAAAATACACTTAGTTTTGACGCATGCATAGAAAACCGCAAAAACATGCATTACACCTTTACGATCAAACAAATACTCCACTTTTCGCGGTTTGGACTCAGCTCTTCACATACAGATCGCAAAATAACCTCAGTCATTCGAGATCTAACCCAAGCGCGGTCTTTTTTTCCCAAATTAGGTAAAATCCGTGTATGTATGAAATATTTAATTTACAACAAAGACCATATAACATCATTAAGTCGCTTTCCTGAACAGCGAACACTTTAAATAAATATCAAAGACTTAAATCAATTATTCCATTTTCCCAACTCATATCTATAAGAAATGAATTCCAAGGCCCTTTCAAAGCGTCGTGACCAAATGCGTCACAAAACGAATTCCTTTGTCCAAACGTCACGCAACTCCTGCCTGTGAGAGCTGTCACGGACAGAACGTTTCCCAACACCTGAGCTCTTTCTCTTTAAACCCTTTAGTCACCAGGTCACCCTTTATGATACTATGACTTCATCACATCCTTGTGGTCATAAGTAATGCACCCTCTGTATCCTCCTCAACGTCTTCCATGTCCCCTCCGGGTTTTGACGTCGTTCCATTCTCCCTTACTGTTTCGCTATCAACCTGGAACAAAAATATGGACATTATCTACCTTCTCGTTACCACGTCAGTTTTGTGGCACAAATTTTTCCGACAACATTTGTCACGAGCAAGGAACAAAGAAAAACCCTCATTTTTAAATTGATTAAGATGACAAATTTTGAGCTTGATCGTCGAATAAGTCATTGATTAGCTTACTGATCAACATCTTCCTTATGTTGAAATCACTTCATTTCAAAGATGATAGGTGGTGAGAGATAAGAACATTATCATCTAATAGGTGTGCTTGATGTAATATCAAATTCTCAGACCAATCATTTGAGAAAAATGAATAGAAATTTAAAGAGAATTTCGGCTTAGGGTCTGCTTCTACACGCACCTGGTTTAACTGTTGTTGCTCGTCCTGTAGTTTACGAGAGTTATTCAGTGCGCGATCTGGTAAACAGTAATTTATTTTGAACAGCAGTCGAGAGTCCACATCACCGATCCTATGATCACCTGAAAAAAAAGAAAGTTCCAAATCTTTAGTTTAAGCAAAGAAAGACGAGACGAAAAAGAAAATAGCACTGGATGTGTCCAGCAATTAACAATCAGATCTTAGGACTTAGAGGGTTAGGTAAGAGCTCTCTATTTACGAACGAAACCAGTCAAACTCTTTTGATCGATAAATACCTGACTACCGTGGTCGAATCTACGTACACAAACGGATCGAACTTGTTTAAAAAAACCTTCACCCTTGCGTGCACAACAGTCATCAAACCTGTCTGAGTAACAGAACTCTACACTTGATTAAAGTAATGAAGTCCCTAATCTTGACACCTAAAAAAAACCTTGGAACCTTCGCCAGGTTACTTTGAATTTTGTATCATTGTAATAAATACGTACATTTCAGCACGACTTACCAGGCCATAAGACGCTGACAATCAGTCCAGTTAGATACGTCACTGCAAAGCACACAGCGCTGTACCATAAAAATGAGAGCCTGTAAAATGCCAGGCCTTCGTATTCCTTCACTGGAGGCGGTGTACTTATGAGAAAAACAAAGTACATATTCAGTACCTTATCTCATCCTTGCTTTCAAAGCGACATTTCTTGAGGTTAATTAGAAATGGCTCACCGCATGTGGATCTTTCGACAGTATATGAAAACTACAGCACTTTTAGATAGGGTGCAAAATCAATTTGAGTGTCATGAGACAAAAGTAATCAAAACTTTTAATCAGACTCTTGTTAAATGACAAAAGAAGTCCACGAGAAATCACACTCATTACGAGACGGTCTCGAGCGCGGGAAAACGGGAAGGACTAGGTAGAGATTTGTTTTAGTTTCACATTTGATTGACCGAGAGTTTGGCGCAAGTTTTCTTGATCCATCAGAGAGTACGTGAGGTAAAAGCAATGTAATCCCGGATTACTTTCAACAGTCAACTGAAAACAGCCCTATTTTCACAGTGACGGCTAACTACGTTAAACCCTACGTATTAGACGTGGGTACACGAGAAAGTGTATTTCTGTACTCAGCAACGAGGAAACTATCGTAAACCCTTGATAAAAGAGAAACAAACTATTCACATCTTTCGATGGGTCGCTGTTTTTGGATACTTCGACAGGGTGATGATCACATACAACTCGGGAAGCTTCGGCCTCCCACACAAACAACAACTTTAATAACTATGATTTAGGAGGTAGAACTAATCACTGCATAAGTTCACTCTTCGCACAGTGAGTGACTTTTATTTCTTTTCGAAGAAACAAGTGTCAGAGTGACTTACAGGCCTCATAACGTCCTCTCTACTGTAGAAATTGTGGTAGATTTTTTCCAATGAAAATCAAATCCTGTACGGGTAATGATAGAACCAAAGCGTTTGTTCAATAAGCTGAAGAAAGAGATGAATATAGAACAGGACGGTTTCAAACTCGAGCGCTATTCCAGGTTGTAACACACGCACGTAATGTGTGATTTTTTTTTTTAACAGATCAATAACAGAAACAATGACTTTCTAAGCTATTGTTTCGTAGCTCCACTTTGACAAGGTAATGAGCTAAAGCAATATTCCCTGAGGAGGAATGCGCGCGTCATCTTTGACCAATCAGAGCTCTCCAGAATACGTTTCTCAGTTAATATTACGGATCTATAATTTTTTCGCTACTGCAAGTAAATGTCTCGAGAACAATAGGCATTCTGAGCGATGAACCACCGTGATGTTTCAGAACCCTCCCGTTCCGACAACAACAATCAAAACGCTTGATGTCATTAACTCATGCCTAATCAGACTGCGTTCCAGTTCTCCTCCCTTTTGTCACAAAAGCGGGATATTTTGACGGAAACTTGCATGCATAGCTTATGAAAATTTAGCGTCGCGCTGTTTTATCCTGCAAATGGTCAAATCAGGCTCAAACTCGGTTCCAGTCTCCACCCTGCGCCTGTACTAACCTGGTTGAGTTCATCATGATTGTGCTGTTCGTTGGCATAATTTCACACTTTTCTGTGGAGAAGGGAGCTTTAGCGGCGGGCGGAGGGTATAATTTAGCACCGATACCGATCCACAGCCCCACGATAAATCCTAGTAACAATCCAATGTACACACCCTGATAAAATAAGGGAACATTGGTATCCATGAGGGCGACTCAAAAACTAATCGTTATGTCCAGGGTTCATGCTTAAGCCATCAGATGACCACGTAACTGTGTTCTGTTCTAACGAGTAATCTAACATGAGTAGTAATACTCTACGCAACTTCGTGTCACAGAAATCGGAAAAAGCTACAGAAGGTTGCCGTCACTGGGCGCGTAACACTTCACCCTGAGCTAATAAGTATACTTAACATGCTAGATAAAGCCCAACAAAAGATTATTTAGGAAGAATGCTGCGTACCCTGGAGTGAGCTCGACGAGTGAACATTCCAAGACAAAATGCTCCTACCACAGGCCCACCAACAACTCCAAACACGCTGTAAAATGTCTGAATAATACAAC